GTTGTCCGCAGACAAGGCTGATGCAAAGGCGGAGGACGGAGACACAGTCACAACTGCCACCAAGGAGGAGTCACCAAGATTCGCTGAGCTCAAGATTGAGGCCGCAGACGCTCCCAGAGGGCCTTGCGTTTGCGGCAGCCTTTGGTGAGCGCAAAGGCGCACAGCCTTTGCTTTGCCTTGTTTTGCCAGGTTTTGCCAAACTAGCATGGCATGTGCGAGGACACGTGCCTGTCGCCAATGAATTTTGGTCGAGCTCTGAAGAGTCTCGGAAGTGGACCTCTTTAGGGCATCGCCGACCGCTTTAGAGCAGACGCTCTCAAGCTTGACCTGAATTGAGGCGGCGCAAGCGGCCGATTGCAAGTGCAGGAACAAAAGAGCATGCATGACAGAGCATTGTTTGTGAGCAGAATATGCAGGGTCAAATCCTGGTTTGTTGTGGTCCATGCATTGCTGCTTTGATTTTGTGATTTTGTGATTGTGTGTGTGTGTCATTGTGTGTGTGAATGGGGTTTGGCAGCTGATAGCTAGTTAGTTTATTGGGGGGAGTAGGCTTGCCACAGCACATTTTGCGGGTTGCATCGGGCTTCAGAGTGACAGAAGTGTCGACACACCCCGCACCAAGCGTCACGCATCGGCATCCACTTGCTGCAATGGGCTGCTCCGGATCCAAGACTGCCACCAAGGCCGGCAAGAAGGCGTCGCCAGTGAAGGAAGCCCCCAAGAAGGTTGAGGTGGCCAAGCCGGCCGAGACGGCTCTGCCGGCCGAGCCAGCTCAGACGGAAGTGCCAGCCGCGCCAGTGGTGACAGAGGCTTCTGCTCCAGCAGAGGCTGTGGAGGAAGCTGAGGCAAAGACCGCAGATGCTGAGAAGGCGGAAGAGGCCAAGGTCGAAGAGGCCGAAAAGGCCATTGGAGATCTGAGAGAGTCGGAGCTGAAGTTGTCCGCAGACAAGACTGATGCAAAGGCGGAGGACGGAGACACAGTCACCACTGCCACCAAGGAGGAGTCACCAAGATTTGCTGAGCTCAAGATTGAGGCCGCAGACGCTCCCAGAGGGCCTTGCGTTTGCGGCAGCCTTTGGTGAGCGCAAAGGCGCACAGCCTTTGCCTTGTGTTGTTTTGCCAGGTTTTGCCAAACTAGCATGGCATGTGCGAGGACACGTGCCTGTCGCCAATGAATGGTCGAGCTCTGAAGAGTCTCGGAAGTGGACCTCTTGAGGGCATCGCCGACCGCTTTAGAGCAGACGCTCTCAAGCTTGACCTGAATTGAGGCGGCGCAAGCGGCCGATTGCAAGTGCAGGAACAAAAGAGCATGCATGACAGAGCATTGTTTGTGAGCAGAATATGCAGGGTCAATTCCTGGTTTGTTGTGGTCCATGCATTGCTGCTTTGATTTTGTGATTGTGTCTGTGTGTGTGTGTCATTGTGTGTGTGAATGGGGTTTGGCAGCTGATAGCTAGTTAGTTTATTGGGGGGAGTAGGCTTGCCACAGCACATTTTGCGGGTTGCATCGGGCTTCAGAGTGACAGAAGTGTCGACACACCCCGCACCAAGCGTCACGCATCGGCATCCACTTGCTGCAATGGGCTGCTCCGGATCCAAGACTGCCACCAAGGCCGGCAAGAAGGCGGCACCAGTGAAGGAAGCCCCCAAGAAGGTTGAGGTGGCCCAGCCGGCCGAGACGGCTCTGCCGGCCGAGCCAGCTCAGACGGAAGTGCCAGCCGCGCCAGTGGTGACAGAGGCTTCTGCTCCAGCAGAGGCTGTGGAGGAAGCTGAGGCAAAGACCGCAGATGCTGAGAAGGCGGAAGAGGCCAAGGTCGAAGAGGCCGAGAAGGCCATTGGAGATCTGAGGGAGTCGGAGCTGAAGTTGTCCGCAGACAAGGCTGATGCAAAGGCGGAGGACGGGGACACGGTCACCACTGCCACCAGGGAGGATTCACCGAGGCCAGTTGATGTAAAGATCGAGACTACAGAAGCGACAGGACCTTGCGTATGCAGCCTTTGGTGAGCTCACAGGCACCTAGCTCTTGCTCTGCCACGTCTCAGGTTTTGCGAAGTGTTGCGTTTTGCGTGGTGCGTGCGAGGACACGCGCCACAGACCGATTCACGTTCGGCGCTAGCCCCTGCCAAGTCTTGCCAAGTCTCCGAGTCTCCCAAACTAAGCCTTTCCAAGCTTTTCAGGGCAGCGCCGATCGCTGTACAGCATGCCCAATGCGGTCTCGTGCATGAAATTCGAAGCTGGCGACAAACGGCGTTCGCAGCCCAGGCAGAGAAAGGACGGCGACGGGCTTTGATCTTGCAAAGCTATTGGTTGTTTGCGACACGGTAAGCAATGATGCACGAGAGCAGATCACCAAGTAGCACGCGACGCATGCAGCGACAGCAGACGCACAGCAAGTTGGGGCAATCTTGAAAGCAGAGAAAGCAGCACGGGGATACCCGCAGAGCGAAATGCACAACAGGACTTGCTTTCAGAAGCACGAGAGCACATGCAGAGTGGGTAGCGCAAGAGCGCACACAGAGCAAGCAGCGCGAGAAGAGTAAGAGCATGAAATTACACGCAGAGCAAGACGCACAAGATGACATGCAGAGCAAGTAGCGCGAGAGCGCACTCAGAGCAAGACGCGCAAGAGGACACGAAGAGCGAGTAGTGCGAGAATGTGAAGATCAAGAAGCACCAGACAAATTGCGCGGCAAGTTGCACTTGCAGTGTTTTTCGCGTTGTTTCCAATTTTGGTCTTTGCGTGAAGCACGCGTGGATTTTGCACTTGGTCTGTTTGGTCTCTGACTTTAAAACGGCTTTGAAGTGGATGGGGTGCGAGATACAAGATGCTGGAAGAAAAAGCTTTGGGGAACCTCGAGTCTGGAAACCCATGTGCTTCAAAGTTCCTTCAAAGTCATATGTCTCAAGATTCCAGATTCAAGACCCAACATCAAGATTCAAGTTTCTGAGGCATGTCTGAGTGGTTCCAGGCTATATGTTTTGTAGATTTCTGTTGGCGTATCACACATGCATATATTTGTACGTGTATATATAATATAATATATAACATACACGTTTTCATATATATTATATATACACATGCTTTCTTGTTCAGATGTGCGGAATGAAGCATGCCATGTTGTGGAGGCTTGCGGAATTGTGCGCGTGGCATCGGGGCTCCACAGTGACAACCGTGTCTCACACACTCTGCGCCAAACATCTCACGCATCAGGCATCCACTTGCTGCAATGGGCTGCTCCGGATCCAAGACTGCCACCAAGGCCGGCAAGAAGGCCGCGCCAGTGAAGGAAGCCCCCAAGAAGGTTGAGGTGGCCAAGCCGGCCGAGACGGCTCTGCCGGCCGAGCCAGCTCAGACGGAAGTGCCAGCCGCGCCAGTGGTGACAGAGGCTTCTGCTCCAGCAGAGGCTGTGGAGGAAGCTGAGGCAAAGACCGCAGATGCTGAGAAGGCGGAAGAGGCCAAGGTCGAAGAGGCCGAGAAGGCCATTGGAGATCTGAGGGAGTCGGAGCTGAAGTTGTCCGCAGACAAGGCTGATGCAAAGGCGGAGGACGGGGACACGGTCACCACTGCCACCAGGGAGGATTCACCGAGGCCAGTTGATGTAAAGATCGAGACTACAGAAGCGACAGGACCTTGCGTATGCAGCCTTTGGTGAGCTCACAGGCACCTAGCTCTTGCTCTGCCACGTCTCAGGTTTTGCGAAGTGTTGCGTTTTGCGTGGTGCGTGCGAGGACACGCGCCACAGACCGATTCACGTTCGGCGCTAGCCCCTGCCAAGTCTTGCCAAGTCTTGCCAAGTCTCCGAAACTAAGCCTTTCCAAGCTTTGCAGGGCAGCGCCGATCGCTGTACAGCATGCCCAATGCGGTCTCGTGCATGAAATTCGAAGCTGGCGACAAACGGCGTTCGCAGCCCAGGCAGAGAAAGGATGGCGAGGGCGTTGGAAGATCTTGCAAAGCTATTGGTTGTTTGCGACACGCTAAGCAATGAAGAGCTGGAGCCAGTGCTGTGTCTGTCAACCCGTTCTTGTTGGTGGAGCACCAGACCGAAAGCTTTGCGAAGGGTTCTTCCGGAAAAGTCTCTAGCCTATGCACAAGAGCAGATCACCAAATAGCGCGCGGCGCATGCAGCGACAGCAGACGCACAGCAAGTTCGGCAATCTTGCACGCAGAGTAAGCCGCACGAGGATACCCGCAGAGCGAAATGCACAACAGGGCATGTACAACAAGTAGCACGAGAGCACTTGCAGAGCAGGTAGCACGAGAGAGCTCGCAGAGCAAGTAGCGCGAGAGCGCACGCAGAGCGCGAAATTACACGAAGAGCAAGACACACAAGATGACATGCAGAGCAAGTAGCGCGAGAGCGGCTCAGAGCAAAACGCACAAGAGGACACGCAGAGCAAGTAGCGCGAGAGCATGAGGTTCAGGAAGCACCAGACAAATTGCGCGGCAAGTTGCACTTGCAGTGCTTTTCGCATTGTTTCCGATGTTGCTCTTTGCGTGAAACACGCGTAGATTTTGCACTTGGCCTGTTTGGTCTCTGACTTTAAAACGGCTTTGAAGTGGATGGGGTGCGAGATACAAGATGCTGGAAGAAAAAGCTTTGGGGAACCTCGAGTCTGGAAACCCATGTGCTTCAAAGTTCCTTCAAAGTCATATGTCTCAAGATTCCAGATTCAAGACCCAACATTCAAGATTCAAGTTTCTGAGGCATGTCTGAGTGGTTTGCGCCAAACAACAGCGACCGCCAGGCTATATGCTTCGTAGATTCTGTGGTTTACCATACAATAATATTTGTATGTATATAGATATACACATATCTGTATGTTTTCATATATATATATATATGTTATGCATGCTTGCTTGTTCAGATGTGCCGAATGAAGCATGCCAGGTTGTGGAGTCTTGCGGCATTGTGCGCGTGGCATCGGGGCTCCACAGTGACAACCGTGTCTCACACACTCTGCGCCAAACATCTCACGCATCAGGCATCCACTTGCTGCAATGGGCTGCTCCGGATCCAAGACTGCCACCAAGGCCGGCAAGAAGGCGGCGCCAGTGAAGGAAGCCCCCAAGAAGGTTGAGGTGGCCAAGCCGGCCGAGACGGCTCTGCCGGCCGAGCCAGCTCAGGCGGAAGTGCCAGCCGCGCCAGTGGTGACAGAGGCTTCTGCTCCAGCAGAGGCTGTGGAGGAAGCTGAGGCAAAAACCGCAGATGCTGAGAAGGCGGAAGAGGCCAAGGTCGAAGAGGCCGAGAAGGCCATTGGAGATCTAAAAGAGTCGGAGCTGAAGTTGTCCGCAGACAAGGCTGATGCAAAGGCGGAGGACGGAGACACAGTCACCACTGCCACCAAGGAGGAGTCACCAAGATTTGCTGAGCTCAAGATTGAGGCCGCAGACGCTCCCAGAGGGCCTTGCGTTTGCGGCAGCCTTTGGTGAGCGCAAAGGCGCACAGCCTTTGCTTTGCCTTGTTTTGCCAGGTTTTGCCAAACTAGCATGGCATGTGCGAGGACACGTGCCTGTCGCCAATGAATTTTGGTCGAGCTCTGAAAAGTCTCGGAAGTGGACCTCTTTAGGGCATCGCCGACCGCTTTAGAGCAGACGCTCTCAAGCTTGACCTGAATTGAGGCGGCACAAGCGGCCGACTGCAAGTGCAGGAACAAAAAGAGCATGCATGACAGAGCATTGTTTGTGAGCAGAATATGCAGGTTCAAATCCTGGTTTGTTGTGATCCATGCATTGCTGCTTTGATTTTGTGATTGTGTGTGTTTCATTGTGTGTGTGAATGGGGTTTGGCAGCTGATAGTTAGTTCATTGGGGGGAGTAGGCTTGCCACAGCACATTTTGCGGGTTGCATCGGGCTTCAGAGTGACAGAAGTGTCGACACACCCCGCACCAAGCGTCACGCATCGGCATCCACTTGCTGCAATGGGCTGCTCCGGATCCAAGACTGCCACCAAGGCCGGCAAGAAGGCGGCGCCAGTGAAGGAAGCCCCCAAGAAGGTTGAGGTAGCCAAGCCGGCCGAGACGGCTCTGCCGGCCGAGCCAGCTCAGACGGAAGTGCCAGCCGCGCCAGTGGTGACAGAGGCTTCTGCTCCAGCAGAGGCTGTGGAGGAAGCTGAGGCAAAGACCGCAGATGCTGAGAAGGCGGAAGAGGCCAAGGTCGAAGAGGCCGAGAAGGCCATTGGAGATCTGAGGGAGTCGGAGCTGAAGTTGTCCGCAGACAAGGCTGATGCAAAGGCGGAGGACGGGGACACGGTCACCACTGCCACCAGGGAGGATTCACCGAGGCCAGTTGATGTAAAGATCGAGACTACAGAAGCGACAGGACCTTGCGTATGCAGCCTTTGGTGAGCTCACAGGCACCTAGCTCTTGCTCTGCCACGTCTCAGGTTTTGCGAAGTGTTGCGTTTTGCGTGGTGCGTGCGAGGACACGCGCCACAGACCGATTCACGTTCGGCGCTAGCCCCTGCCAAGTCTTGCCAAGTCTCCAAGTCTCCGAAACTAAGCCTTTCCAAGCTTTCCAGGGCAGCGCCGATCGCTGTACAGCATGCCCAATGCGGTCTCGTGCATGAAATTCGAAGCTGGCGACAAACGGCGTTCGCAGCCCAGGCAGAGAAAGGACGGCGAGGGCGTTGGAAGATCTTGCAAAGCTATTGGTTGTTTGCAACACGCTAAGCAATGAAGAGCTGGAGCCAGTGCTGTGTCTGTCAACCCGTTCTTGTTGGTGGAGCACCAGACCGAAAGCTTTGCGAAGGGTTCTTCCGGAAAAGTCTCTAGCCTATGCACAAGAGCAGATCACCAAATAGCGCGCGGCGCATGCAGCGACAGCAGACGCACAGCAAGTTCGGCAATCTTGCACGCAGAGTAAGCCGCACGAGGATACCCGCAGAGCGAAATGCACAACAGGGCATGTACAACAAGTAGCACGAGAGCACTTGCAGAGCAGGTAGCACGAGAGAGCTCGCAGAGCAAGTAGCGCGAGAGCGCACGCAGAGCGCGAAATTACACGGAGAGCAAGACACACAAGATGACATGCAGAGCAAGTAGCGCGAGAGCGGCTCAGAGCAAAACGCACAAGAGGACACGCAGAGCAAGTAGCGCGAGAGCGTGAGGTTCAGGAAGCACCAGACAAATTGCGCGGCAAGTTGCACTTGCAGTGCTTTTCGCGTTGTTTCCGATGTTGCTCTTTGCGTGAATCACGCGTAGATTTTGCACTTGGCCTGTTTGGTCTCTGACTTTAAAACGGCTTTGAAGTGGATGGGGTGCGAGATACAAGATGCTGGAAGAAAAAGCTTTGGGGAACCTCGAGTCTCGAAACCCATGTGCTTCACAGTTCCTTCAAAGTCATATGTCTCAAGATTCCAGATTCAAGACCCAACATTCAAGATTCAAGTTTCTGAGGCATGTCTGAGTGGTTCCAGGCTATATGCTTTGTAGATTCCTGTTGGCGTATCACACATGCATATATTTGTACGTGTATATATAATATAATATATAACATACACGTTTTCATATATATAAATATATATATATATACATATGTGTATATATATACATATATATATATATACATATGTGTATATATATATATATATACATATTACATATATATATAGATATATACACACATGCTTTCTTGTTCAGATGTGCGGAATGAATCATGCCAGGTTGTGGAGTCTTGCGGAATTGTGCGCGTGGCATTGGGGCTCCACAGTGACAACCGTTTCTCACACACTCTGCGCCAAACATCTCACGCATCAGGCATCCACTTGCTGCAATGGGCTGCTCCGGATCCAAGACTGCCACCAAGGCCGGCAAGAAGGCGGCGCCAGTGAAGGAAGCCCCCAAGAAGGTTGAGGTGGCCAAGCCGGCCGAGACGGCTCTGCCGGCCGAGCCAGCTCAGACGGAAGTGCCAGCCGCGCCAGTGGTGACAGAGGCTTCTGCTCCAGCAGAGGCTGTGGAGGAAGCTGAGGCAAAGACCGCAGATGCTGAGAAGGCGGAAGAGGCCAAGGTCGAAGAGGCCGAGAAGGCCATTGGAGATCTGAGGGAGTCGGAGCTGAAGTTGTCCACAGACAAGGCTGATGCAAAGGAGGACGGGGACACGGTCACCACTGCCACCAGGGAGGATTCACCGAGGCCAGTCGAGATCGAGGCTACAGAAGCTCCACGAGGACTTTGCGTGTGCAGCTGTTGGTGAGCTTAATTCCAGGCGCTTAGCCTTTGCCACGTTTCAGGTTTTGCCCCATGTGCGAGGACACATGCCAGGCAGCCTAAGTTAATTAGTTTGAATCTTTGCGATCCCCTCAGTCGTGCCAACTTTCACACAGAACAAGCAGGACCGGGGACTGCTGTACAGTGGTAGCGAGACAACCAGCTGTCTCGAAGCCAACTGACTGCAACGGAACAGAACGCCACGCGTCCGTGAGAAAATCGTTTGTGCTTGCCATGCCCGGCTTCATGGGACTGAGCCCGGCCTTGATTGGCCTGCGTTTGGGTGAGGAATTCAGCGATCAGAGTTGTCCCATCCGGTTTTGCCCTGAAACGTCCTGAAAAGTGGTCGCACATGGCATCCGATGGTCGGGGGATGGGCGGGGGACAGATGCTGTAGCTAGAGTCGATTGGAATGCGTCTAGCCAGCACCCTTGGGAGCTAGTAGTCCTTGCTTTTGACACATGCAATGCTGGATTCCATGGGGAGGGGGGATGGCAGCGGGCCCCTTTCTAAAAAGAGGCTTGGAACGTGGTACCCCTCAGGATTTCTACACGGGGGCCCCTTTATGTACCATTCTGTTGTTAAGCGCAGCAACTAGCCATGTTTCTTTCAAGTGCTGAAGGGTTCCCTTAATTACCTACCTGACTCTCTTATTTCCTCAAAGAGCATTTTCCTGGACCATTTCCATGTTAGCTCGTGCTGAAACCCCTTTCTAAGTTGCGAAGGCTCTCCTTGTGCACACACTCCATGCAATACTTTCCAACATTGGACCCACGAGGGTGAATGTGGGCCAAACATGCGCACATGGAGTGTTTGGGTTAGGAACCTGCAGTTGTTTTTTGGTGGTTTTTCCCCCTTTCCAAGGTCCACGTGTTTTTCTTTTTGGCTCGGAGTCGCGGGGAGTCGCGTGGACTGTGGGGATCGGAGGCCGGCACCTCTGGGAGCTACGGCGAGCTGCGGCAGGCGACCCCGGGGGCCCCCCGTGTCAGGGACGCTGAAATGGTGGTGATTGGGACATGGGGGGGGTGACTTTTTATTGGTGAAATTTGATAACCCCCAGAAACCGTCCAAATAATGGCCCCTGTATTGGTAAACCCAGACCTTCCACCTATGAGAAGCACCGGTTTCCCACCGTGGCAGGCGGTGCAGCTGCAGCTGCAGCAGCGCTTCAGGCGAATCGATTCGCTCGAGTCGCTGGAATCGAACAGTTCGAGCCAGGCTGGTCGTGGCCTTTTAGGGATAAGGATTTTTATACTTTAACTCCCTGAGTTTTTGGTCTTTTAACCCTTTTGGGTTAAATGGTGGCAAATAAAAGTTGCGACTTTTTTGGCCAATCCAGTCAGGGAGTGGACGTGATGAAGGTGAATTTTGAAGAGACCCCACGATTTCCATTTGTGTGCTGGTGGCGTCGCCAACGGAACCCCCTGACGAACAAACCCAAGGGGTGTCGCGACCCAAGTGATCTGGATTCCCACAAGGAGAAAGAAAGGGGTAGCAACGCCAAAAGAACAAAACGGCGAGAAACCATTCTGGGGTGAAAGAGGAGATCCGTCAAAATCACGAGAATGGCAACGGCCCAATTTGGATGATGACAATCCTGAAGCATCTTTTTTTAAAGATGGTTCGGGGTCCCCCTAAAGGACACACCCAGGGGTATCAGTATCTGCTAGGCCCGAGTTCCTGAACCGCATCGACGAGCTGCTCATCTTCAGCGCCCTCTCCGGGCCGCAACTCACGGAAATCGCCGGACACCTGGGACCACGGATGTGGATCGGGAAGGTCGAATCCGATTCCTGTACAAAGAGAGGTACCTGCAAGAAAAGGACCCAGGTGCTTCTTGGAATGCAAGAGTATTGCAGATGTGTTTCTCGGGCTTGTTGATCTTGTGAGATCACTTGAGACCCCCATATATTGAAGGACTATACTTCAAGGCGTTTACCATTTGTCCACTTGTCGATGCTTCTTTTGTTTGGGGTTCCTTGCCCCAGTAAAGGCATAGCGACCCAATTTGAATGACAAATCCTGAAGGGTAAACAATGGTAATATATGAGCCCAATTGTTTTTACGGTATCAGTTGCCCAAAGCCGACCTTTCAACCTTCTTGGTCTTTCCAATGGTTGCTCCAGTTTTAGTCACAGATTCACCTTTTTGTTCCTTTGGGCTGAGCTGAAGCCCCAGGAAGACCCGAGCCCCAGAGAGTCGCGTCATGGCACGGCGCCGCCTCC